AAGTATAAGCTTCCTCCTTGTTTTCACCCTCTCTAAGACCTCGTCGTTTTTTACACACTCGGTTCATGATATCCTCAGTATCCTTCTGTAGAACCACATCTTCGTTGCCTTGAGTCTCTTCTTCATCTTTGAGGAAATCGTCCAACATTCTCTGCTGTAAAGAAGGACAGATGTCACGTAACAGCTCAGTGTTCTTTTCTTCGTTACCAAAGAAGCCCATCTGTCTCGTAATACTCTGTTCAGCTTTTTGGAATGCGTCCTTGGCCATCACAATACGTCTACGGAACTTGGTGTCGCATTTACCGTTCTCTGTCAAAACGCTTCACAGATATCTAAACTTCCGCGTCTGCTTGATTCTAGTGTTTCCGATCTGCAAATCGCGTTTAGTGATCTTCTAAGCGTGGCTTTGCTGGCATAAGGCCGAAAGCATGGTGCATCCAGTGAGGATCGAACTAACTACTCAGTGGTAACTGTTCTAGCAAGATAAGCTTGTTAACCATTACACCACGTACAACTACCGTAAGAGTGTGATTATAAAATAGCAAAGAAAAGAGTACTGAATTGTTACGGGATTTCAGCCCACCTATATGGCAGTGAATGCCAGATAGTCTCCTCACAGATGAAGAAGGGACTTGAGGCAACAGAAATGTAGTTCTACAGAAGGATGTTGTGCATGTACTGAACATTTGAGCAACGACGACGTTTTGGAGAAGAGGGAAAAACATTTATACTTAGTATCAAAAAGAGACAGTTGAAATTTCTAAGGTACATAATGAGGAGACAAGGCTCGGAAAAATTGATACTCACGAAGCAGATTAAAGGCAAAACGGACTAAACAAAGCAATACATAATCCATTTAGATAGCTTGACCTAATGGATCGTGTTGTAACCTCGGGTAGGTTACTGAATAGAATAATCAAACAAAAGTTGGTAATGAACAATAATACTTAGGACAAGAACAACACATATAAGATTCACCAGCGGCGCGTAGACGTACTCAACTGCTAGAAGTGAGTCAAGTGAATTCCACAATGAATCTCCAACTGCAGGATACCTACCAACCGCCCCACGCAGTCAGATGTGGCATAAGGCCGAATTTAATGTGGGGTATCCGAGCCTGTGAGCTCGGCCAAAAATTCCCCGTAGACCCCGGGTTGGGTATTTGTTTCCCCAGACGAGGCGATGTCGAAGGGCAGAGAGTTTGACCAGCACAGCTGGAGACAAATCGACTGTAGACCTACATACAGTATTTACTACTGTATTTATATGAATGGGGACATACCCATTATTGTCCGTAGGTATGCTTCAACAGATGGCAAAGAAAAGTTTAGGAGAGATAACAAAAAGAAAAAATGTACTTAAAAAGGATAGGAAATTGTGGAGAGCCATGATTGCCGATGTCCTGAAGGGACATGACACCTAGAAGAAGAATATATTATCAAAATATTCTGCAGTCTTTACGACTTTCGGTTTTACTGCTTGCATACATTATTCCTTTCATCTTGTCAGGAAATAATTAAAATATTTGCTTTAAGATTCATCTAAAGATTCCTTACCGATCTAATACAGAGGGATGGAAAATTAGGCGATGTGTAAAAATATTAGACAAACTGATATTTGGGAAAAAAATCAGGAAAAAAAGGAAAAGACTGAAAACATCCGTACTGTTTGAAAGTGCTCAATACACTAAGTTGACCAAAACTAACATACCTAGGCAAATAGATTCTGGCTCTTTAGGTATTTTATATATATATATATATATATATATATATATATATATATATATATATATATTATTATTATTATTATGGGGTCCACCCTTTTCTATATAAGTGGACTCTACCAAGGGTTACTTGGACTGCTGCCGTTAAATACCCAGAGTTAGACAGTCAGTGAGGGTAGTCGGATAGTGAAATCGTAGTCGGAAAGAGAGAGAGAATATACGAACGGAGATAGGGTGAGGTAGCCTCTTGTAGAAGTCAGTTACAAGCACGTAGACTCTAAGGAAGTCCTACTTCGAGACTGTATATATCTATCTGTATTTGCTACTAACCGCGTTCTTGGATTTAGTAACAGTATTACTCTTTGTATGAGTGTGTAAATACATTTTATTTCTTATATTTAATTATTGCGTTTGTCATTCCTTTGATTGGAGACCGAATTCATCTCGGAATCCACAACACATACACACACACACACACACACACACACACACATACATATATATATATATATATATATATATATATATATATATATATATATATATACACACAGTGCTGTTCGATAAAAGTGACTCACCTGATTTTTTTGCTAAAAATATTTTTTGTCTATTGTTTTTGGGGTTAAAATAATTTTTAATATTACCGACCACCTAGGAAAAAAGTTTATTCACCCTAAGGTATTCTATTGATAATTATAAATTTGGATATAAATGAGATTCAGGAAAAAACTCTGTGCAAAAAAGTGACTCAAATATGGCATTCTAAGGATTAAACTGGTAAATTTAAGGGGGTTTTGAGAAAATATTGAAAGCTATTTTACAATACACTCAGAAAAATATTCTAGAGAATTCTAGAACAGCTTAAATTAAATACCAGAAAGCCTCATACAGTATAAAACTGCTTGAAATAGCCACTTAGAACCACTTAAGGCATCTATTATTGCCCTCTCAAAAGCAGGCAAGTCTACGAGAGAAATTGCAGAAATTGCTATAACCTCGCAAACAACTATCTCTCGAGTGCTTAGGGCACATAATGATGCCAGCCGTGCCCTAAGGAAGGAAACAAGGGGACGAAAGGAAAAGATTGACGATAGAACTGGCAGGGTAATTAAGAGAGGTTGTGAAGAATAGGACTATAACTAGCCATGAAATTGCATCCAGTCTAAGCGAAGAGCAAGGTGTTAGTCTTGCCTCTTCAAGAGCCCGTCAGAACAAGGTTACAAATCCTGTTAGAAAAAAGCTACAAATCTTGTACACGAAGGTTTAAGCCGCTAATAAGCAAAGCCAACAAAGTCAATAGACTTGAATGGGCTCACTATTACAAAAATTTCACCGTAGAAGACTGGAAGAATGTTCTCTTCTCCGATGAAACGAAAGTTGAGCTAAATTCAAAGGATAAGCGATCTAAAATCCGAAGAAGAAGCTTTGAAAGCTCTTTGAATTTAGCAGTGAGTACTATCAAGCATCCATTCAGTATAATGTTCTAGGGATGCTTTTCTTTTCATGGAACTGGTTTCTTAAAACCTATTGAAAATACACTCAGGAGCGAGCAGTACAAGAGAATTTTAGATTCTTGTCTGCTCCCTTCTGCTGAAAGGGTGCAAATCAACCCCACCAAGCTCATTTTTATGCAGGATAATGCTCCCTGTGACAAATCAAAATTGATGAAGGAATACTTGGAAGAGAAGCAGGTGAGTGTTATGACATGGCCGCCCCAATCTCCTGACCTCAACCCCATAGAAAACTTATGGAGCATTATAAAGTACAGGCTTTCGAGAAAGCAGTTGAGCAACAAAGAGGATCTGATTGTGAATTTCTTATCCGAATGGAATTCAATGCTTGGAGATGAGATTTGCCAGAACCTAATGCCAAAAAGGGTTTAAAAGGTTATTCAAAATAAAGGAGGACCCATAGATTATTAAATATTTCGAACTATATTACCTATTATAAATAAATTATACCTCTATTATTCCTTATTTAAAGCTGTTCAGTTACGTTTCTATTGATTACTAGTTGCAGGAAATAAGTGAGTCACTTTTTTTGCACAGATGTTTTCTTTAAATCTCATTTATATCCAAAATTATAATTATCAATAGTATACCTTAGGGTGAGTAAACTTTTTTACTAGGTGGTCGGGAAGGGGTCTTTTTATTAGTAAGATTAAAAATTAGTTTGACCCCAAAAACAATATCCGAAAAAATTTTCAAGTAAAAAAAAATCAGGTGAGTCACTTTTATCGAACGGCACTGTATGTTAACCTTCAAAATGCAAAAGAACCTGCCTAGGCAGTTGCAAATTGTTCCACGTTTGCAGTTAGAACCTTAATGGCAATGCAAAGTAGATTTACTAATATCTATAGAAAGATCTAAATATTCCATAAAGGTCTCTAGCTAGACGAGTAACAACAATAGTCGTAGCAGAAATAGTCCTAAGACGATCGATTGCCTTATTGATTCGTTTTTTACGGTATACAATCCTATGGAGGTTAGTTAAAGCCAGAAAGTATATTTAGATTATAATTTTCTTTTAGGTTTGGAGGGGTAGATAATGATTTACTGAGACGAATCTTACTAATTAAACCATAGTTGGCGGAGAAGAGGGGGACCCATATCGTTTCCAAGGGTATCTGCGCGTAACAAACACTAATGGAATTGGAACTCGGTTGTCGGATTAACAATTCAAGTTATTATCCATTACACCACCCACACATCCAAGCTTGCAGCACCTGGTATGCCCAAGCGGTCATCGAGGTACTGACCAGACTCAACGTTGCTTAGCTTCGAACTATTACTCATCACAATATATTTGCCATGCTAATGCAAAATAAGAATTACTGAAGCATGTTTTGTGCTTGGTACTCGTTCAAAAAACTAGTTACTAGATTATTATACGTGGTGCATAATAATGATACACTAAGTAAGGAATATAACTATTTTACAATTTTAATGAGTTTCACTTTTTTTCCCGCGGGAAAATATTTATTGAAATTGTAAGTCAGGCCGTCTTCATTTGAGAATGGTGGGTTAGATTTCGTTTTTGTTGTTGTTGGCCAGTAGGCAATCTTACTGATTTGCGTTGGCCATTATAGCTAAGGTTTTATTTTATTCTTCGTTCTATGAGGATTTTCTTTCTTTTATTAGTTTTTGTTTCTTCAATCGCTTTGCGCATCAGCCTCCCTGCTTCTAACTTTATTTTTCTCACGTCATGAGAGCCGAAGCAAATATTAGTTGTACTACTAACCGATTTACGACTAAATCTGCCTTTCCATTCTTCAAACTTACAGCACCTAGTACTCTCAAGCGATCACCCATCTAGATACTGTCGAAGATCGGCGCCGTTTAACTTCGTTGATCGCACGGGTACCGGAGCTTGAAAGCGATATGGCCGTAGCTGAATAGTCCTAGCAGTTGCAAAACTACAGTTGTACCAATAAAACATCGCAGAACCTTTATCACCTTGCGTTACTTTTTTCCTGATTACAATTTATATAAAATTTTGCATTTAAATCATTTTTGCCATGTTGAAAGTATCCGTTTCTTTGTTCCTTTTAAAACCTTTAATAAATCTTTTTCAGTGGCTTTAAAAGCCGCAACATTTTTTAAATATTAAAAATAATTAAAAAAATATATTTATTTCATTTAAATTAAATCAAGTCATTTAATTAAGTGTATCAGTTAGTATGATTTTTCAAAATTAAAAATAATTAGCGAATTAAAAACTCCGTTACATATTTTGTAAAATTAGTATTTATTTTAGTTGCTTATAAAGCCTGACAAAACCGGATACCTCTGCTCGCATACAATAAACTGTTTTTATATTGTTTTCATATTTTTTTCATATTGTTCCTTATAGGAAATGCTAATGTTTATCATTTGTTTCTAATTAATGCTTACATACTATACTATTTCCAAATATTCTTTGTGAAATCGTTTATCTATATAACAAACATCAGTATCCAGTCATTAAATCATTTCTTTAAGCTTAAGACACCTTACAAGGGATTTGTGTATTTCATCATAAAAGAACGATTACGATTCTGATTCGATTAATTCTAATTACATTGAATTTGCTGAAACACTCGACAAACAGACAGCGCTTGCTGCATTGGGCATAGCAACTGACACTCTTTCTATGATACCGAAATCCGAAGGCTCAAACGAAAGATGCCTTCTAAAATCTACACAAAATATTATGAAACAGGAAGTTTTTATTAGAAACAATGAAAACAGTGCCGGGATATAATATAATATCAACAGTCCTATATGACAGGAAATTCTGGACAAATTCCTAACAGATGAAGAAAAGACTTGAAACGACAGCAATGTGGTTCTACAGAAGGATCCTAAGAACACCATGGACGAAGCAAGTGACCAAAGATGAGGCTTTGAGGAAAATGGAAACAAAAAGGACACATACATATTTATATATTATATGTATGTGTCCTTTTTGTTTCCATTACAGAGAGAGAGAGAGAGAGAGAGAGAGAGAGAGAGAGAGAGAGAGATCTTCTGGATAAAATCCAAAGAATTATTGGTCCCGATCTGGCGTCTCGGCGTCAGACACTTTCCCATCGCCATAAGGTAGCCTCCTTTTTTCTTTTCTCTGATTGGATGTGCGGGTGGTGTAATGGATAATGGTCCGAAATTGTTAATCTGACAACCGAGTTCCAATTCTAATTACTTTCATGGTTTTGTGATGTACAGTGGCCGTTAATAATTAAGTATGACTCAAGACTTCAATGTTAAGATAAAACAGTATTTAATTACAAACGCTAATAAATACTCAGCAAGAATAAAGAAGTAAAAGTCAACCAAAGATAATTAACCATTTCAATGAATATCTTGTTAGTAGTGCTGCTTAAGTCCCATAAATCCAAAATCAAAACCCAAATCATCGACCCACAATAATTTAGACTAATTCGACTGCATAGTTACACTCATTAGTCTTTCAGTAATCACTGCAGTCAGTAGCCTGACGCCGCTATTTATACACCTGGCGGAAAACATATATTCATAAGTCTAGAGTGTCACGCTCGGACTTCATTGTCGCTAGTTACTTATTTTCTTCCTATATGACACAAAGTGCCCGGATGTGTTCTTCGCTATGGTACCTAGACACTTTGAATTTAAGTGCAGTACTAGAGTGGCAACGAGGTCTCACCAATTTACAGTTGAGCTGCATAGATGTAACCGTATATTCTATGCTAAGAGTTTCTTTTCTAGCAATTCTCGCCTGTGGAACTCTATTCTGGCTCCTTGCGTTCCAGTTAACTTTAATCTGCAAAAATTTAAATGCAATGTCTATTGCTATCGGAAATCCTTCTGATTACTTTTCCGCTGTTCTGGTCTCTTAGTAATGTCCCTGTCTCTAATTCTTCCACAGCTAGTAACCGCTTGCATCTGATTGACTTTACTGTATTGCTTGGGGTGAACTCGATAATACATATATATATATATATATATATATATATATATATATATATATATATATATATATATATATATATATATATACACACACACATATATATATTAAATTAACTGATTTAAAAATATGGTTTCATCGCTACACAGGAATTACCATGTTTCAAAAAAGAAAACAAAAAATTCGCTTGAAGATGAAACAGAACTAATGCTTTTAGTTTAATGTAATTGAATTTGAAGTTTTTGTTTAAAGTTTTTGTTTTCTGTTTTTTTTTTTCTGATTTTGAAACATGGCAATTCCTGTGTAGAGATGAAATCATATTTTTAAATCAGTTAATTTATAATATTTATGTTCTGTAAATTTAGATTGAGCACCGTTTTGTAAAAAAAAAAATAACAATAAGAACACCGCATTACATATCTTACTGTTCTTCCTTTCTTACTATAATATATATATATATATATATATATATATATATATATATATAATGAAGCTTCTGGCATTTTCCTTTACACAATATAAAAGATGTCGCAGAATTATCTTGCCACTTTATTGAGTCATTGTTTTTTTTCTGTCGCAGCATAAATCTGAAGTAATGAAAATAATTCCCATAATTCTTATGGAAACAGGAAAGGGTCACAGTTCAAGCATTGTTTTTCTCTTCTTCAGGTGCATAGAAAAAAAATTAAAAGAATATTGTCATTGTCGAGGAAAAAATGGATTTAACATGAGAATCGCAAATAAAGAAATATTATTTGGACCCAAGAGAAACGGAATGTATAGTAAAAAAGATTTCTTCTTTTTCTGTGAGAAAAAGAGAAATATTTACAACATGCCGGAAACTTGAACAATTATTACTGCACAATATGTCAAGTGAGCAACAGGCTTGTTGGAATGACATATTGGAATAAAAAAAAAATATCAAAGAACTTTTTCTAGTTAAATATATCGGTCGATCTGTTGTAAATGCGACGCAGTAAAACGATTTTACAGCTGGTATGGGAAATCCTTCTACAACTGGTGGAATATCTCCAGAGCTGTCACTTTCATATTATTCTATGTTTCAAGCAACAAACAAAACCCACTGTCCTGTCAGTGATTTTAGGATATAGAATAATTAGAATTACATGAAAAACACAATCGTTCTTTTATGACAAAAACGCGATTTAACTGGAAAAAAATAAAAGAAACTCATTAACATTCATGATAGATACATTGAACATAATAATGTTATTAATTTATATATAAAAAAAAAGATTTTGATTGAAAGCAAATGCTGAAAGGTTGTGCACCAACCTAATATTAAATTTCAGCAGATGTGTACTCGAACATTTCTCAGTCTTAAGTAGCTATCCTATCGTTCATATCATTTTTGTAACATTTACCAACAACTCTTCTTATCGGATCGGTGAATATCCAAATATAGCGTCTTTGTGCTGAAATGCGACGCAGTAAAACGGCCATAGTGCTGGCATATGAGGTTCTTGCACATTCAGAATGTTCTCAAGTTTTGTGACATTCAGCGGCTCACTTGTTTTCGCTCTATGCAATATTCGGGAACAGTAAGTCCATGATTTTCTCAAAGATTTAATCAAACCAAAAGAGAAATCATTGTCTTTTTATGGTGTAATGCTAGACAAGATCATAGAAAGTAAACCAGAACTCATCGATGATTTAAAACTGATACTTTGAACTTATACGAACGAAAGGTATCGTCGAAAAATATAAAAAGTTTTGTAAATATATTCGAAATTCTGGAGTTCTTGCTGTCTTTGAGGAATGAACGAAAATTCCCAAATTTAAAAAAAAAAAAAAGTTTGTAAAAGCATTTTGATACACCCTTTATGGGAACGGAGATAGATATGAAGAAACCAATATAAACAGACAAAATATATAGACACGGATACATAGATATAAGCATAAGAAAAGACTGATAGACAGAAAGACCGACAAATAGATGAGACAGAGAGAGAGAGAGAGAGAGAGTGGGAGAAAGAGAAAGAAAGAGAGATAAGAGAGAGATAGGTACAGATTATGATAGATAGTTATGAAAAAAACGATACAAACAGACAAATATATACACACACAGATACATGGATAAAAACGTAGGAAATGACTATTATAGACAGAAAGACAGATAAATAGATGAGAGAGAGAGAGAGAGAGAAAGAGAGAAAGAGAGAAAGTGAGATATACAGATTATGATAGGTATGAACAAACCGATATAAACAGACAGATATATGGATATATAGACACACAGATACATAGATAAAAACATCGGAAAAGACTATGACAGAAAGACACACAGATAGATAAGAGAGAGAGAGAGAGAGAGAGAGAGAAAGAGAGAGAGAGAGAAAGAAAGAGAAAGAAAGACACACTAGAGAGAGATATGTACAGATTGTGATAGATATGAACAAACTTTGACTGATAGATATAAACAGCTAGATTGACACATACACAGCTCTGAACAAACTGAAACAGGCAGATATAAAAAGGACGAATGGTCGGCTAATCCACTTCAATCTTATGTCGCTGTCTAACAATGGAATTCAGAAACGCAGATATAAATCTTCAGGAATGAATCTCCGATGGAATTAGATGGCGCTGCCTGTAGTCAATATACCGAAAAAGAACAATGATACCGCTTTATTAATTTGAGCCTTTTAAACAATATCTATCTCCACACACACACACACACACACACACACACACACACACACACACACACACACACACACACACATATATATATATATATATATATATATATATATATATATATATATATATATATAATTGCGAGACAAGTTTAACGGCATATGGTACATTTTTGAAATAGTGATGTCAATGTATCGGTATGTTTTAAATAATTTAAATCATAACATATCCATAGCTTATCTGTCAATACGTGCAGATCTATATATATTGCATGTATACATATTTCGTATATATATATATATAT